GAAGAAACGTATAATCGGCAGACATGTCGCAAACTCTTGGAGAAAAAATGGCTGAGGGCCGCAGTGTGAACCTTTAAAGTAGAGACAGTGAGTCCAGTTTCAAAGCCTTCTTGCAAAAACTGAAGAATCATCTTGACAGAGGGACGGCAATGAAAGCAATTATGCCAAACGCACCAATGGAGGAATTTGTTCCAAATTCTCAAATAGATTCTAGACACAGAAGTTCCGGTGGAGTTTAGAATTGTATGAAAAAGGTTATCTGGAATACCCTGGTTCTTTAGGATTAACCGTGCAACAGTCAGGCCGTCAATCTGAACATGCAAATAGTTTTTTCCAGAAGAACATTTTCCAGGAGTTGATCTGAGAATGGAAGCTCCCAGTAGTCCAGTGCCATAAGTCGCAATGCTGAGAAGCAGCTCCGGGTTGGTCAGTGTGGGAGGATAGCGATCACTCAAGCTCGTTCTGCTCTGATCTTCAGAATCATTGGGATAGGAGGAAAAAGGTATCCCAGGCTGAAACATCAGGGGATCAACATGCTGTCCAGAACCTGTGGGTTGTCCTGTCTGAACAGTGAAGCAAACTTCTGCACTTTTCTGTTCCTTCTCCTTGCCATTAGATCTATTACCGGAAAACGATTTTACTATTTCGGAGGAGACTTGAGGGTGTAGAGACCAATTTGTTCCTGGTGAGGTAGTCCGCTCCCACATTTTGTTCGCCTTTTATGTGGACTGCTGAAATGGATTCCAGGTGTCTTTGGGACCACATCATAATATCACAATGATGGGTGAAGGAGAGGCTGGAGTCAAAGCACACCTAGTTAGCAAGCATGTGAGGTACAGGTGATGGTAGTGCCATTGACGTGGAGGGAAACCATACATTGGATGGAGGAAAGATGAGAAGTCCTGCTTTGGACAAGTTAAGTTTAAGGAGGTAAGCACCCATCCAGTTTGAAATAGCAAAAGGCAGTCAGAGACGCATCAAAAGGGACGGTGAAAGATCAGGAGAGGACAGATAGATTTGCGTGTCATATGCATAGATCTGATATTGGAAGACAAAAGCGCTGATGAGTTTACCAAGGGAGATAGCATAGAGCTAGAACAGTAGAGGACCGAACCTTGAGGAACACAGACCAAGAGGTGTTGCGGAGTAGAGGAAGTGCCAGGAAAAAGAAACCCTGAAAGAGCACTGGCAGATGCTTCAGGAGAACCAGGAAAGAGAAGGGTCTTGTAGACCGAGATTACACAGGATGAGAAGTTGTTTATGATAAACAGTGTTGAGAGCAGCAGAAAGGTCAAGGAAAGTTAGAGAGTAGTGAGCAATGGATTTAGCTGCAATAAAATCATTGGATACTCTGGTCAAGGCTGTTTCAACAGAGTGACGAGTGCAGAATCCAAACTGAAGCGGGTCAAGCAGAAAGATGGATTTAAGGAAGCACACATCAAAAATTGCGCACACAACTCTCATGGGTCTTGGAATCAAATGGTAGTAGTGAGATAGGGCAGTAGTTGGATGGGGAGTTGGGGTCACGGTTGAGAATAAGATTATGGCTGCATGCTTAAAGGGTGAAGGAAATATGCCAGAGGAGAGATTTGATATTTAGCAAGGGGCAGAGCAAGAGAAGGAGCCAGACTGCAAATGAGATTTGAGGGAACTGGGGGTGGGGCAGTGAGCATAAAACAGAGGAGGGAGTGCGGTTGGGGCAAGTATTGGTCAGAGTAGGAGAGAGATTAGAGATCTCTTCCCTGATCCTGGAAATGTTCTCGTAGCAACAGGATGAAGAAGCGTTTAAGTGTGAAAGAGGCATTTAGGTGAGGGAGTGTGTGGTGTGTGTGTGTGTATATATATACACATATGTGTGTTTGTGTTCGGTGCTATTCTTGTAACGTTAGCGTGTGTATTGTTAGATGTATTATATAGACATAGGAGCAAGTCGGCTGATGTGTGCTGAAACAGACGTATGCGGTAGGCCTGTAATAAAGTGGGCTTATCCTGATTTAAAATAAAATTTAAAAATAAATTAAGAGTTAAGCGAGTGGTGGGCGCACACACATACTACTGTACACATCGCTACACAAACTACTGCATATGCTGTTACAAACACACACTTCTGATCCCTTTGATAGGTAAACAATTCATCAAATTAAAATGTGTTGCCTGTTAGAATTCCACTGCTATAAATCTTAAAACTTGCTGTTCTCAAAATGCATTTCTTTGCAATGAAGCATACTTACGTATGTTATGTAATCATAATTATGGATGAAAACTACCCAATGTAAATGGGGAATTAACTGATATCTTATTTCTGAGGCTTTCTTTAACAAAGGAGTTCAATGGCATACTCTAGGCACCACAACAATATCATGTTATGGTTCTCTAATACCGTCCCAACATTCTTGGCTTTTACTATAATTGCTATTCTCCCTACAAGGCTTTAACGTGCACAATGTAGATCCACCTTACAGCCCTATTATCAGAGATCCAAACTTGTCTTCTCTCATAC